CACTTGAAGTAGAGGGTTATGTTTAGAGGTAGCTTATATGGATAGAAGGGGAAGATAACTGTTAACTAGACTTGAACAGGTTAAAACTGTAGTAATTGGAGAAAGATCCTCTTGAGAGTCTGTTCCACAGGGCAGTGGTTCACATGAAGAAGCTGTTTGAGTGGAACTTACTTCTTGCTGATGGAATACAGAGGGAATGTGGGTGGTTTGCTACTATGTAATTGGCATGGAAGGTCCTAGCCATGAAGGTTAGACCTGGTGGAACCAAGAAATGTAGTTTATCTGAGCACTTTCCATTGTAGCAGTGATAGAACAGTGAGAGACTCACCACATACTGCCTGTGAGAAAGAGGTTAGAGGGTGGAAAATAATTTTTCTCCAACAAGGACTCAGAGATGCATTTGAATTCTATCAAATCTGGAAAGTGAAGACCAGGCAACTCCCACCCAAATATGGCAACAGTACTCCAGTTTCAGCCTGATCTGGCTCATGTAAAGGTAGAGGATAGCATGAGGGGTCAGGTACTTACTGGAGCAGTACAGGGAGCTGACCATTTTACCTGCATCTTTAGCAATGGATTGTATATAAGAGTTTCACTTGAGGTCAGGTGTGAGTTTGAGCTGCAATATTATCTCAAGGAATAGAGCCTTCCCAAGAGTACATCCATTCATCATGACTGTCAGTCTTTCAGGGTCTGATCAGCAGTGATGGAATGCAATTGGTTTGGTTTTTCAGGAATTGAATGTAGCTATCCAGTTTTTCCCCACTGGGAAGTTAGTATCTGTCTATAAAGGGGAGACAGGCTGCCCCCTTAAGGTAATGCTTCAAGAATACCAGAAAGCTGTAACACGAGGGGAAGTGGAAAAATCAGGCATGGCTGACCACATATGGAGAGAAAAGCGAGATCACTACCCTCTGTGGGATCAGGGAGGGATCATAGACAAAGAAAACCATTGGAAAATTCGTAAACTTAAGGAATCAGCACATATGATAGGCCACAAAAATCTGCTGAGCCGACCAAGCATAGAAATAAATACAATATAGGAAACAGTAATAAGGAGTGCCCTAGAAAAATGATAATAAGAACAAAAATTGCAATATGAGCTCTGGTAAAACCATGTATGATAACAGCAAAAATTGCAATATGATCACTAAAAAAATGGTTGCTGAAGACATTAGGTCTATAATACCCAGAAATTCATACACAGATGTCCTCAAGGACACATGGCACAGTAGATAAAGGTGTTGGCTAGATCCAGTGACAGGAGTGAGTTCAAAACCTGGTTAAGGTAGTGGAGAACTTGGAGAGGGGAATTAAGCAGGAGATAACTGATTAACTGATAACTGACATCCATTAACCATGGCACGTGGAACTAGAACAGTCTACCCTAGTGAGCGAAATAAAGGGTTCAGTTTGAAATTCCAGCCACCTGAAGAAGGCCGGAGCATACAAAGATGAGGACAATAGTCCGAATAATGTAAATAGTGGGAAGTTAGTGATAGATCGAAAGAGAGGTCAAAGGTTGTGAGGTAGTTTTTGACTGACTGTACTTTGTTCTACTACTGTTCTGTAGAGACTGAAAGAAATGACAATCTGAAGGAGCCAAGGTGAGTGTTTGAGACTTTCCCATTTCAATTCTTTAAGCTTTTGCAAGGTCTGTTTTGAAACATGCTAATTTTGTGTTCTGGTGAAAAATAACACCTTTTCCATTTTCCAAAATTGGCCTTTTTCTTGAAACCAAGTCTCTTCAAATGACAAAAGGCAGTGGAGATATCACAATCTCTTAGCAATCTCTCTCGTCAAAATCTTTGGTTTATTCTCCACAATGGCAAGCAGAGCATCTTCTCCAACATCGGAAGGTCATCCGGAATGTTATTGATTGTTTAGGTAAAATCACTCTGATAAAATCTGTGAAACCTGTTTTTGAAGGTCTGAAGAGCTGGAGCATAATCCAAATAAACCTTCTGAATGTTTATCATCATAGGTCTAATACTTACAATTTTCTAAAATTCATAGGATATAATATGCTGAAAGTACAACTTCTCATCCTTGATCTTTAAGGCATTCATTTGTGGACAAAACATTAACAACTTAACATTCAACAAAGTCTGACTCAACTGAATGATAAAAGGTTTTAATCTAGAAATCACCAGAAATCGGCACAAAAACAAATGCCAGTGTCTAGTTGCAGTCATTTTATATTAACAAGCTACCAGGAAGGTTGGTTCACGATGTCATTCTAGACATTTTTACTCTTCAGCATCTATCTTACATATCTATATGACTATGATTCATCCATGTTTAGAATATTGCTGCCACACATGATCCACTGCTTCTGCTATCTATGTAGAGCTCCTTGATAAAATCAAAAGAAGAATCAACAATATTATTGGCTCTGGTCTGGCAACTCACCTTCAGTCATTTTCCTGCCACTATAAAATTGCCTCCCTTTGATTTTTCTATAAATACTCTCATGTTAATTGTTCAGATGAGCTTTTCAAGATGGTACCTAGATTCTTTGAATTTAAGCAATGCACTAGACTAGTGATGAGGTTTCATCAACTTACACTTGAGCTGGCTAGATGTAACCATAAATTTTATGTTAACAGTTTCTTTTCTCACACTTCTCACTTGTGGAAGTCTTTCTGGCTTCATGCTTTCCAGCCAACTTTAATTCACAAAAAATTTAAATACAATGTCAATTGCTATCTGCTGTCCTCCTGACTACTCTTCATCTGTTCTTGCTCCTTAGCAATGTTCCTGTTTCTAACTCCTCCACACACAGTAACTCCTTGTGTTTCTGTGGCTTTACTGCTTTGCTTTGGCACAAACTTTTGCAATAATCTGATAGACTGTTTTTCAGAGTTACTGTCCTTCTTAAAAAAGATTTGTAAAAAAGTATAAATATATTTGATAAACTGAAGTTACTATTTAATGAAACAATACCTCATCTCAGAAATATAGACAGAGAAAAAAATCTATTCTTCAGTTTATTACAGAAAATCTCTTCAGTGTCACATGACATGTCATCGATATGGTGACATTTTATTGCTTGAAAGTGAAATATTTCTAGCCAAGCAGGACACCGCAAAACAAAATAAAAAGTAGGGATGGGATTAAATCATATCAGACACTTGAAGAAGGTCAGAGGAAACAATGGCTGAAAAGATGTGATAATAACAACAAAGATGAAGACATTAGTTTTGATGGAAATAATAACTTCTCAACCCAGACATTCTGACAGAATTTATCAAATCATTACAGAAACCAATGGAGGGATAACAACAAAGATGAGGACTTTAGTTGAAATGTAAATGTTATGAATACTGTTTATTATAAACAGAGCATTTACTTATATATTTGTGTCTATAAAACTAATGTATAAACAATAAATATATCAAAATCCATATTCATACATATATATATATATATATATATTATAATAATATATATATATATATATATATATATATATATATATATTGATAATATTTGTGGTCAATATATATATAAATAAATAATCATATATAAATCAATCAAATATTAATATATTATTGGCTATTATATATATATCAATATATATATATATATATATATATATATATATATATATATATATATATATTGATAATATTAAATGGTATATATATATACTATATATATATATATTATAATATATTTGCAGCAATGTTCTAGAGACAATGGAAACAAAAAAAAGAAGATTATATATAACATCAGAAAGAGATATTGAAATTTCTTAGGAACACATAATAGTATTTATATATATAGGGCTTATAAAATTTGATAACTCATAGGACATATTGAAGGCAAGAGAGATAGAATAATAGTACATAACTAATCTAACATATTTATATAAATGGCTTATATATATATATATGAAAGGATTTAAAAAAAATTTTCATAAAATTTATTAAAAAATATATATTTTCAGGAAATTTAAATATTATAATTTCATGTCCTGAATGGCCATATTTATATATAAAAGAACAACAAAAAAAAAAAAAAAAAGAATCTGCTCTTGTAAAAATATAATAATACTATGTAATATATATTTTTCCTATTTGGCAATGAATGCTGGACAATCTTATGCAGATGAATATAGACTTGAAATAACAAAAATGTTGTTCTACAAAGGATATATGAGAATACCATGAACTAAACATATGAGCAATGATAAAATATTCTATAGACAATGGAAATTATAAAAACACTTATACTTAACATCAGCAAGAGATTGTTGAAGTTTTTAGGACACATAATGAGAAAAGAGGGCTTGGAATATTTGATACCCACAGGACATATTGAAGGCAAGAGGGACAGGGGAATGCATTGCATAGTATATTTGGTGAGTTTGTGAATGTTTGGTGGAACTGGCTTTGGGAGAGAAGTTTATTGAGAGTTACAAAGGACAGGAAATTGTGGAGAGCCAACACCCTGAAGAGACATGGCATATAGAAGAATACGAAAACTGGTTGTGTATAGAAAACTCTTAACATAATTCAAACTTTTGAAAAGAGGGTGTAGAGCTTCAGTTAATGGAATTGGTTCAAGAGATTAAATGAAAAGAAAATATAGGGATATATTTCTAGTTTTGCTGAATTTGTGTTTTAGATGCATTATCTTCTTGTATTCATTCTTGGACGCTTCAACTTTAAACTTATTACAGAGAGTGTCTGCTTGCTTTTGCACTTTGATTTCTTAAAGGCAAAGTATCTCCTCACAGCACCAAATGTCATATCCAGCTCCCTATCTCAAATCTTTTCATCATGCTTCCAATAATACAATCTAGGAGAATGTCGAATACATTTGTCTTAAAAGAAATCTTTGAATTACTGCCTCTTCAATCCGTTATTCATCTGCATACCTTTTCCTTATCTTTCACTAAGCAGTTTTGATTGTTGTGTTTATATGACAGTTTTTAGCAAGAAGTTTACACTCTCATTCAACTTCTATTTCAAATATCTTAATTCTTCAGCTTACAGCCACATCACGTTAAAACACCGGCTCCTGTACAATCACTGAAGTTAAGCAACATTGATTCTGGTCAGTATCTAAATGGGTGACTACTTGGGAATACCAGGTGCTGTAAGTTTCAATGTTTAGGTGGTGTAATGAATAATGGTTGGAAATTCTTAATTGGAGAGTTCCAATTCAAAAGAAGGTTCATTATATTCAATTATTTTTTCATATATATATCTATAATCAAGGTATACATTCATCTCTTCTCTTCCTAGTTATGGGTCAATTAGTAAGAAATGTATCACTAAAATCATTATTATCTCCAAAATAATAATAATAAAATTAATAATAATAAAATTGTGTAAAAAAAAATTTTGAGTTAAATAAATTGATCATATTTAGGGTGTTGATATTTTAACTGGGGGAAAAAACAACCAACCAATCCTAATTCTTCTAGTAGTCTTCTTTTATTTTCCATATCTATGCTTAATGTTGCATTACTGACTTCTAGAACTTTGTTGCTGAAATCAATTTCACTAAGAACTTTCACTCAAAATGGGTGCTATACTGATACACTCAAGTGAACTGATATGGTTTCAAATGCACTAATCTGATTGGGCTTGTGCACTACTTTGCCCTTTTCTCAGGTAGGAGAGCTGTAAAAGGTCCAACACTATCAACTGTTGCAGACCAACATCTGTCCTTCTAAAATGCAGTGCAGGAAGTAGTCTTTCAAAATTTCCCACACTTTGTAGACTTGTACTGAAAAGATTTAAAAGGTTTTGGACAATAAAACAAAGCAGCCCTGGGTATGATGATAAACTACATCTGGCAGCAAGGCCTCGGACTGGGAGAATGGAGATTTTGCAGAGTGTGGAACCACCTTTTAATTGCTATTGTTCATAGGTTCACCCTGACCCTGGGTGGTAGCATCTGTTAGGGTCCCATCTATAGGCAAATAGTGAACTTACAAACAAAACACTATGAAAGTATAAAAATACATTTTTATATAAAAAAATGACCAACGATACCTATTTATAGTAAAATGACCAACAATATATTTTTAAAGCAAAATGACCAGCAATACATTTTATCTGTAGTTGAAGGCACACAATTGCATTCAAAATATATTTAGTTGAAGCCATAGAATTGTGTTCAAATTATTTAGATTTTAGGATTAAATAACCCATAGAGGTTGATAAGCCACTAAACAAAAACAACCAACATGAAAGAACTCTTTCTCAACATTAATCCATATAATATTCTACAATTTCTTAAATCAAACTGTATTCCAAAATATAACTTCAACAAATCTGCAACATAAAACACACATTATCAGTAATTATATTCACATGAACATGTATATGTACAAAATCTGAGTATCATCTACCATGTATTCAGTTGTGAAAGTAGAATAACATATATTTTTATTACTTCAAAGCTCCTAAGAAAATCTTAAATTTCACCATTAAATGACACATAAGGAGTTGATGTGCCTTAAAAAAAATCAAATCAAACCTCTTCACCAGATGTGTTGACCAGATGTGAGTGGTAAGAAAGCAAAACATATCCAATCCATAAAACAAATCCCCCCCAAAAATAGCCAATCATGAACATTCCCACCCAGAATAAGTATGTTGGAGCATACAACTGGAAACTACAAAAAAAAAAAAAAACAGCACTCCTTGCCGACAACAAGCACTTTGGCTTGTCACATGACCACCAATCCATCAAACACCTCACTGGTGTTGATTTCAACACTAAAGAAAGGTATATATCAAACCTCACCAACAAAACTATTCTTGGCTTCACTAATTCACTCCAAGCCTCTCTTCTGACACCAACTGTGACCGCGGCCAACCAACCCAAGCAATTGGTCTACTGAAAACATCTTCATGCCGAATTGCTTTCCTTACCAATGGCAATTAAGGAACTACATATGAACAATTTTTTCCATCCTTTCACACAACTATGTATATATTCTGAATTTTGGCCAATACACATTGTTGAAATTTTAATCCTTGTTTGTTCTTTACCTTTGTAATCAAATATTTGTTATAACAATTACCTGTAGACAACTTTCAGCAGCATTAGCATTACACAGATCAAGGCTGGCAAACATGTGGACTGGAGGTGTCTAGGAGATTATTCTAAGAATTTCAGTTTGCGTGCCATTTAAGGATCTTTTCATGTTACTGCTATAATCATATCCTTGTCTACAGCAGTCTGCCATTTGTATGTAATTTTTTATTTAAAAGGTTATTTTAAATAAATTTTCCAGGCTTACTGCCACATCATAATTTGAAAACACCATTTTCCACATAATCCTCTGAAGTTAAGCAATGTCAAACTGGGTCAGTACCTATATCAGTGACCACTTGGGAATACCAGGTTCTCTAAACTTGAAAGTGTAGGTGGTGTAATGGATAATGGCTTGGAATTGAAAATCAATTTTATTCTTTCATTAGTTGGGTTTAAAAAAATAATTACTTATGCACAAATAACCTTGAGAAAGGTATGAATCCATCTCTTCTTCCCCCAGATAAGGGTTAATTAGTAGGATTTGTATCAATAAATAATTCTTATTATTAAAAAAAATTACATTCTAAAAATAAAATAGATTTAACTAACCTGTAAAAGGTTGATAAGCCCTAATACATATCAATCAAATTAAAAAAAAAATGTCTGTTTATCAAGGTCAAATTACTGCTTTTATCCAGACGCTTCCTCTGTAGCTAAATGGTAAAGCACATCAAGCTATATGATGGTTCCATGTAGGATACAGGTTTGATTCCTGTTGAAGGACACATATTCTCTATGAAATTTGTCAGTTATTCTGGCCAGTAAATGTTGTTAATACTATTTATTATAAACAGAGCATTTACTTAAATATTTGTATCTATAAAAAATAATGTATAAACAATAAATATATTAAAATAATTGTTGGACTCAGTCCATTTTAATCATTTCATCCCATGCAAAGCAGTATAACCTTTATGACACAAGGGGTTACTGAGTGTGAAAGAATACGAAAAAAGAGAAACATTATTAAGGAGTGAGAACAATAGAAGAGTAATCAAGAAGATAATGAAAAAATAATGATTGACATTGCATTTAAATTTTTTAAAATCAAAATCCATAGCATCCCCACAAAAACCAAATCTAATATATATATATATATATATATATATATATATATATATATATTATATTTAAATATATATATATATAATTATATATTTATAGAAATAAAACGAATTCAATGAACTGATTTAAAATCCAACAGATACCAACAGCTTCTAATATATATATTTGAATGAAAACTCTAACATTTTTAGGCATTTAAAACAACATGCCTGCCCGCACACAAATTTCCTAAAATACTTGTCCAAAAACACAATTATACTTCGACATGAAAACAATAGACAAAAACTAAAAATCCTTGAAGCATTATACATCAAACAGTTGAAACCCAACCTAAACAAAATCAATTATGGCATCTCTACAAATATTCTTAAATGTCTATAATTGGTAACAGAAGCCATTGGTTTATACCAACGGCTTCCCATACTTCATACTTCTCCAATTCACTCTCGTGTGGTCATGTGTGACGTCATGAGATGCGGTGCGATTTTCGCTTCTAGCGTCTTATATGCACGTGTTTATCGTTGCTTAGAAATCATCTATGTAAACAATGACAGACTATCATCACTGTCTTGTCCGTATATTGCTTAATATGTTGTAATTGACATCTTTGATAATGGCTTATATAAGCCGAAATATTGTTAGATTGTATTAAATAGAAAAAAAATTTAAATATATATATATTTTTCTATATATTTTTCTATGAAAATTACATTCAGGCCGGTAAATGTTTCTTTCTTTTATCAGACGATTGCTTAAATAAATAAAATAACAACTTAAACATAAAATATGTTTTAATAAAAAAATTTCCATTTCATAAATATATAATATATATTAAACAATAACAAACCTTTCTGGTATCTGGTCATTGGATATGATAAAATAATTTAATTCATTGTTCCACTTATCCTCAAAAATTCCAACTCATTTATATAATTTTGTCATTCATTCTGACCTGAATATGACGAACAAATGTCAGTGAAATGCATTTTTTATATTTTCCACTTTGTCCCATTATCTTATATTATATATATATATATATATATATATATATATATATATATATATATATATATATATATATATATATATATATATATATATATATCTGTCTCTGTGTATGTATGTGTAAAATCAATTTTCAAAGTAGTTATAAACCTTCATGACCCAATAAAACACACTGGTGTTGAAGTATTGTTAAATACAAAATCTCTACCCTATAAAGAATGAATTGGTAAGTGTTTTTTGTATACACAATAGTACACAAGGGGCTACAGGGAGTGAGAGTAAGAGAAAAGACTGTGTATAGGGGGATTGAAGAAAGTATAAAAAGAACAGAGAAGGATAAAAAGAATGAGGCACAAGGCATTAGATGTTGACTGACATTACCTTTCATTATATTCCATGCTAATAGGAATATATACTTGACAAACACAGTGGATAAAGTAAGTAAAGGTTTATTGTACAAAAACAGTACAATAAGAATAAAGGTAACAGTTATGCACAAGGTTGTTGCAAGACAATCCAGCAGTGAGTGCTACTAATGGAAGGTTGGTAGTTCTTGCGTAAATCTGAGTCATACTCAAGTGATCCCAGTAAGTCTCCTGTAGTCTGTTGCCTTATGGATACTTATAGGTAGTTACTACCTATAGTATAGTCACTCATCAGGGTGACAGGTTATTCCATTACATCACATTTAAATTTATGAAGATTATAATTATCAGGAAAGCAAGTAAGTGGAAGGGAACTTCACTGTCAGGAAATGTGAAAGAAGAAGCTGTTGGATTAGAAAAGCTGGTTATATTTAACTGTTTCAACAGTAAAAGGGTGGGACTGAGATGCCAATCTAGCAGAATGCTTAAATTCATGCAGTCAGGGCACCAATAAAAATAGCTCATCAGAGCCATGAAAATATTTATAAAAAAGACAGAGGAAACTCACATTACATCTTTGAGAATGTGACAGGAGTCGATATCCCAAGTCAGG